CATTTATATTCATTTTATATTATAGTTTTCATTCTACTCTATTTTAATTGTAAACACCATAGGGTCTTGGTTATTTTATTCATTTATTTATACTTTATTCATACTTTATTTACAATAAATAACACAAAAGTCAAAAATCACAAGGGTTAGTGCCAGCAGATATACAGAACAACTGAATCCTGTTGTAAAGCTACAACCCTCAGCGGCATCCGGTCATTTCGAGACACAGTCGTTTCGAGACACTAAGATACAAGTTCAAGACAGGCATATATCCATTTCGATATTCCCCTCAGCTCCATGTAATATAATACAACTAAGCTAAAATCTAAAAGTATATCTGGACTTCTATATATGATCAAAATATCAAATATTAAATAATGTAATATGTATTATAGCTATAATATACAATATAGGTTCAAAACATACATATAAAATATAATGCAAATATTTAAATACCTATATTGCCTGTTTCTTATTTCAATTCTCTTCTTGTTGAAATAGTTATATGCACAGAATCTCTGTCTTCTGGCAAAGATGTTTTTGGACCACAAAACCCTCTATTAYGACACAGATCCTTTCCTGTTTTACATCATGACAGAACGGGACAGTGCAGGATTTCACATTGTTGGTTTTTTCTCCAAGGTAAGTTACCCTACCTGTAGAAGCATATTTTTGTTTTGTATTTTTGACAAAATGAACAGCAATATCTTTTTAGTTGGTTCTTAATTTGAAAGTTTTGTAACCATTGATTATTTAGCTTATATGTGTTAATGCCTTACAACCATCACCCCTTGTATGGGACTCTTGCATGAGGTTGACACCACACTTTACAACATACAACATTCAACTCACATTTTTTACTGAGGGAGAACCTGGAGAAAAACCCACATGACAAGAGAGAGAACAAAACATCAAATAATCTCAACTCACATAATAGTTGGAGTCCTATTTTAGACTAGAGGCTATGGATGGCATGGGTAGCATAGTGGTTTGCCTCGACCTGCCTCTTATCCCTGTGGTCTGGGCTTGCTTGGTCCTGCTCGGCTGGATCATATATGACCTTGAACTTGAACCCAGGACTCGAACCAACCAGGACTTGAGCAGAGACCACAGGAATAATTGCATGAGGTAAACCACTACACCAACCATGCCACTCCTATCTTTTCATCTAAAATAAGATTTCAGTAAATTTGGTGTATTGACTGCAGACATACTTTACATTATTAGAAACATAGTGTCAAAATGAACCAATGTTTGTTTGTTTGTTGCAGGAAAAAGAATCAACAGAAGACTACAATGTAGCATGTATATTAANCTAAAATGTTGATATAACCTTGATTTTTAGGAGTTTTTTCGAATGAGCTATCAAAAAATATAGAGTCCCGTGCAAAATTTGAGGGTTTTGCCCTGTTGAAGCTCAAAACGCGTATGGTTTTTCAGCGGTTTTTGAGCGCGCGCTCATCGTGGGCTCAAATCGAACGTTCAAAAGTAGGCAGCCACCTTAAGTGGTTTACCTCTTGCCTCTTATCCCTGTGGTCTGGGCTTGCTCGGTCCTGCTTGGCTGGATCACGTATGAACTTGAACTCAAACCCAGGACTAGAATCAAGCAGGACTTGAACAGAGACCACAGGGATAATTGCATGAGGCAAACCACTACGCTACCCATGCCACTCCTATCTTTTCATCTAAAATAGTATTATCATTGGATATGTTTATATTGGTGTTTTGAATAATAAAAAAAAAAATTCCAATGTTTTTAAAATCATATTTTTACAGAATATTTACATATTTATATATCTCATAACATTAGGATAGCGTTTAATTTTAAAACATTTTTGATTCATCAATGTTTGTAAAGCGCTTTTGAACCAAAGGAATTAGCGTTATATAAAATATAATTTATTGTTATTATTATTATTATTAATAGGATTCCAGTAAATTTGGTGCATTGACTGCAGACATACTGTATATTATTAGAAACATAGTGTCAAAATGAACCAATGTTTGTTTGTTTGTCGCAGGAAAAAGAGTCAACAGAAGACTACAACGTGGCATGTATATTAACGCTACCTCAGCATCAAAGAAAAGGATATGGAAAACTACTCATAGAATTCAGTAAGTATTATTTATTATTATTCAAAGATTGAAAGACTCTCAGCTCAGTTAATATTTACCAATAATCACTTTGCCTTCAGTGATAAATTTTGTTAAGGTTACTGGAGACCTTCAGGGGTATGATTCGTTTAAGACTCTCTCTTCGCAACACTTTAAACAAAACCCCATGAAACTATATATGGTCTTAAGGGTCATATAATAGAGATTCAAAAAATAATATTATTTGAAAGCGATTTTTTTATTTGAAACAATGCCGGAGTCTAAAACACAAAATTGGGCACGTTCAGTAGAGGTGAATTAATGGTCATGGATTTAGCGCGTATAGCATAAACAAAAGATAAACTACAAAAGGGTGTGAGCGATTTTTGATATTTTGCTTCTTTAAAAAGTTATTGAATTTAAAGTTGGAATGTCAAAAAATTTCTATGCCGGTTAATGTTTTACCCCATAAAAGACGAAATACTCAAAATATCAAAAATCGCAACC